GGGGGACTCGCAGATGACGCTGGAGCTGGAGCCTCTGAACCTGTGCAGCCATTCCCAGAGCGAGCGGGCTTTGCAGTCGCAGCTCCACGGGTTCCCGTTCAGCCTGAGGAACTCCAGGGCTCCCAGGTGAGCCAGGCAGTCCCCATGCAGCTCCGAGAGGCTGTTATTGAACAGGAAAAGGGTGGTCAATCTTCGGAGGTCGTGAAAAGCCCGCCTGTGAATCCACTGCAGCTGATTTTGATGGATGAGCAGCCGATCCAGGTTTATTAGTCCCCTAAATGTGTTCTGATGGAGGCTCCAGAGCTTGTTTCCATGGAGAAAAAGATGGCTGAGGTTAACCAAGTCAACAAAAATATCATCCTGAAGGAACTCGATATGGTTGTCTTGCAGGTAAAGGTATTGCAGGTTGTGGAGGCCACCGAATATCCCACTGGGGAGGGAGCTCAGCCCACACTTGTACAGATACAAGGCATGGAGTTTCACCAGCCCTTGGAAAGTGTCTGCAGCTAAAGCCCTTAAGTAGCGGTTGTCCCCCAGGTCCAACTCTTCCAGGTTGACAAACCCATCGAAGGTGTTGGGGTCGATGAAGGTGATGTTGTTGGAGTAGATCCAGAGCGTGACCATGGAGGGGCTGAAGTGGCCCCGCAGCAGCAAGGTGATCTGGTTGTTCTGGAGGAAGATCCTCTCGCTGTCCTCAGGGATGCCCTCGGGGATGGTGACGAAGTTGTGAGCCTGGCAGCTGACAGTCATCGGGGACGGGTAGCACACACAGTCGGTGGGACAGCCCAGGGCACCAGGCACCTTCAGCCCCAGTAGCACCAGCAGCAGCTCTGCAAACCCCCCTGTGCAGAGAGAGGGGAGAGAGGTATCAGCGGGGACTCGGGCACCTCCCCACCCACCTGTTCCAGGTGAAAAATGCTCCCAGTTCATCAGCCCTCCTCTCTGCTCCTGAGTTACCCACGTGGCTGTGAGGAGTGGGCTCATCACCCATAAACGTGAGCTATGGAACAGTCCCTGCCTCCTCACCCTGCCTGCAACAGGCAGGCCCTTGTGCTCCCAGCCCGAAACAGGCAGGAAAAACTTCCTCAAGGAGAATTCCAGCTGGCAGTGCAGGCAGCAGAGCCCCTTGCCTGCAGGTGGGCGGCACAGTTGGAGGAAATGCCGTGGTGCAGAGGCACGAGGGCAAACCGAGGACGTGCAAACCCTCGTGGGTGTGCACCCCTCCTGTAACGCGCCTCTTCAGTCACCCGCGCGTCCGTACCCGAGAGGAAAAGCTACAGAGCTGCAGTAATTCCCTGCAAATCACCTAAACCTACACATCTGCACAGCACACCCAGCTCCCCCAGGGGCACAGACCCATCCCCACCATCTCCTTTTACTACTGTTTTTGGTCACCACCATCTGCCCTGAAAACCAAGTGATTTGCAGGAAAACACGCTGTCAGCAGTCGGTGGAAAAGGCTGAGCTGAAAACTCCGTTTGGAAGTGGGATGCTCAGACATATTTTTTTAAATGGATGTCCTGTGGCAAAGCATATTGCATCCTCTAATGCTACAGTAAGGGCTTGTGAGCGGGGCTTTCTCGCTGTGGAGGAGCAGCGGTGGGCAGGGCAGTCCTGGTGGGCAGGGCAGTCCCGGTGGGCAGGGCAGTCCCCATCCCTCCCCTGCCCGGCTCTCTCCGCCCCGCTCCTCGCAGCAGGCTTGCTTTCAGGCTATTCCTTCTGTGCCGAGTGGCTTTTCAGACTCATTGCACCAGACTTGTCATTTCTCATTCAGATTTTCCTCCTAGATTTGGCTTTTTCCTCTTACACACAGAATTTGTTCATGTCTAATGAATTCTGCCTCTGGACTTTACAGAGGATAGGAGTAACATGGGAGCAGCATACAGCTGCTGGTGCCATCCTGCCCACGAGTCCTCGCCTTGCACTCAGCCTGTAATAATCTGAAAAACGAGAGTGGAAGTGGAGTTCATTTCTAATTACTCCACGTCGTTGTCACCAGCTAGTCCGTGAGCTTGGACCCCTTGGACTTTTACAGTCCCTCTTTTCCGCACCTACAGCTGAATACAAGTGGGAGGCAAAAAAATATAAAAAGTCACTGTGTTCTTATTAATTGACATATAATTCCATGGTTACTGTTGTCTTTTGCCTGGTATGGAGATCTATTACTGTTTAGTTAACAGCAGGTGACCCGTCCATCTGGACCCATCCTTTCAAGGCAAAGTTGTTGCGTTTTTAGATAAACTGGGTTATTCAGACTCTCCATAAATCACCAGTAAGAGGCAGTCATCTCTGACTGGGCTGTTAATAGGAAAAAAAAAATGGCATTGCTAGTCAAAGCGTTGGACCAAGCCTTGGCTGCGATGAGGAAGGGAGAACTTCTTCCAGGCAGTGCCCTTCAGCAGTGAAGCATCGGCTACCAGGAGGGATGTCTCATTCCTGCGCCGCTGCCAGGAAGGGGCTGTGAGTCGGGAACGTTTCATGCGCGACAACTCCTACGGCTGTGCAGGAAAAGGAACGTTCTCCAAGTCCTGGCTTTGCTGTCCTGCCGTTGTGCTGAGAGAGGGGCTGTGCTGCTGGGAGCACCACGGGCTGTGGTGGGAGCGCCGAGCACTCCCTGCCAGAGCTGGAGCCCTCCCTGTGCGAGCCCAGCCTGGGAGCCGGCGGCATCCCGCGGATCCTGTGATCAGCCCAGTGCCAGAGGAGGCTGGTGAAGATAAAGCTACCTTTGCAGATGCATTCTGCTGGGTTTCTCACTCACAGAAGTGCTTCGCCAAGGTGGGACGGCTTCACGTTCCCCACCTCACCTCGGTGACATTGAGGTACAAAGCCTCCCATAGGTCTTAGGTTTATTAGTAAAATCCTGCCAGGCACAAGCTCGGTGACGATCTCCCACATGCAGAGTCTGTTATTGCAAATACCAAATCACAAGGGTCTGAATCAATAAACCATCTCCCAGCTATAAGCAGCAGGTTGGAAGATTACATATTGCTTCCAAACAACAGTTTTATGCGCTCTTCCATGACACAACAGTTGCCAGGCTAACAGGATTACTGACGGGAGGTGGAGCCGGGCAGGGATCTGGGAGCATCCAGGATTTCACGAATGGGGATGGTGATGACAGGCGGCTGTTAGCGACACACGGCGATGGACGAAGGCAGCCCGGGTCTCCCTGGAGCACAGCCAAGGTAGAGGCTCCTGCCGAAAGGGAGCGTGGTGTTTAACAGTTCCCTGCCTGCAGGGATAACTCCAGAGGTAAAGGTCAGAGAGAACGTGGTCTGTCTCTTTAGTTAAGAGGCGTTTGTGAGATAATGGCTGGAGTTCCTCTGGAGGGGGAGATGCGATCCCCACGGTTGTGGATGGCAGTGGGGATAGTCTGGGGTGTTACAGGTTCTCAGCTTCAAGCTTCAAGCGTAGGATGGTAGGAAGAAAAGGCAGGGATGTCTTTCTACCTACATGCTGCGTCTCGGGGGTGAGGTAATAATTAGGTGGGCTGGACTTGGAAAGGGAGGAAATCTATAGACTCCTCAGTGGATGCACTTAAGGCACATGGCCTCATCACAAATGCTTTCCCTCCACATCCATAAAACCTGCCAATTGCCTAATGCTGTGAGAAGCTGCTCCTGGGATGCCCTGGGCCTGGTCACAGTTTAGATCAGAGAATGAGAGCCCCAAGAAACAAAGAGTCTGTGGTCATCAAGCCATGAAGCTCCTGAGGCTGCTAACACCAATGTCACCATGGCCAGCAGCCCAGCCCCACTGGGATGAGACAGCCGGGACACATTTGGTCTCCCTGGGCTTCCCAGGCAGGAAAGCACCGTGGGAGCTTCCCTGGAGGTCCCAGCCTGGCTCCCCTGAGAGTTAGACCCTGCTTAACTTGTTAAACTTGTTATTCTGATGCAGCCCTTTCGACTTCATCTTGTAAAGGTTTTGAGGCAGATGGAGGGTCACCAGCACGTGTGTCAGAGCTCACCAGGGAGGGAGAGCTTCAAAAGCAGCACAGAAAAATCCTACAGAAACCTGCTGGTGAGGTGAACAAAAACAAAGCCCTGCTGACAGGGACAAAACCAGCAAGGGGGTGTTTATCTCCTGGCTTTCTCCCACTGATGTGCCGTGTCACCCCAGCTTCTGCTCGCTGTGGCCTTCTGCCACCTCCTGCTTTTGATTGAGGTTCCAGTGATTGGAATGAATTCGTCCGAGTGTCCAAACCATTTCCCATGCAGCATGTCTCTAATTGGGCATTAATTAGGCATCAGTTAATGAATGCTTGAAATAATTCATCTTTGGCTGCGTCCAGTTTGCAGTCTTACTTTTAACAGCATTAGACTCATTATTAGATTAACATCGTTATAAATGTTCTCCATTACCTGCTTGTTTCCATTGTCTTAGCCTTATTACTGAGAGTGAAAATCACTCCTCCCGCATGCATTATTGATGAGTAAGGACTTTCTATATGTAGCACGGGATTAATTGTTATACAGTGTAATGCATTTAGCGTGAAGCCTCAATTTCTGCAGGAGCTGAAAGCGGCCAGAAGAATGCAGACGCCCGGAGCCAGCATCCTCGGCCAGACACTGCACAGCTCCTCCAGCCCAGAGCAGGTTCCTCCCGGGCCGCTGCCAGCACAGGAAGAAATAAATAAAAGAAGGCTGATTTGATACCCCGGATCAGGAGGGGAAGGTTCAAAGGGCTGGGGCACTTTTCTGCCACTGCAGCAGGGACGTTGGCCTCGGCACTGCTCGGCGGGCAGCCCGGCCCCACGGCGCTGCTCGATCCAGGGAGCAGGGTGTACCTGTGCCAGCAGTTCTCTTGCTTTTTTAAGGCTTTTCATGCTTTACAGTATCTTGAAGCAAGGCAGAGCCTTGGTTTATTTAGGAAGATGTAATGCTACTTATTTTCATTAGGAGCCCCAGGCTCCAGGGGAAGAAATCACTTAGGACAAGAATCGATGCTTCAGCCCCGGGGGGGATGCATCTGCAGAGGTCCCCAAAACGCAGCCCTGCCGTGAGCCCTCTCCACCCCCTGCCCCTACCCTCTTTTGAGCTGCTTTTCTTAGGTGGACGCTTTCATCTCTCCACCCGGACGAGCTTATGTGGGTCACAGCCCCTCTAATTCTCCAGCAGGATCTGGTCTTGAGGATGGAGCAGGTTGCTTCTCTTTCAAATCTCTCCTAAACCGCCATCTGCTCTGGGAGACCCATCTTAGCTCATGTCTACATGCAACTTGACTGCCTGCTTACTGTGTCCATTACCGGTGCTGCTCAAGCTGCTAGATTTATAAGCTCTTTAGAGCAAAGCCCTCGTCTTCTGGTTGCTGATTTATGTATCTTTACTGCCATAAAACACTATGTGTAGCTACTACATAATATAAATAATAATACTTAACCAGAGCGAGCTACAAGTGGGGACAAAGCATCTGGTTTCTGCTCGCAGCTGGGATTATCAAAAAACCAGAAGCTTACTCATCACTCACCCTCTTCTGAGGCCAAATTCACACTTGGTGTAACACCACCACTGTCAACGATGTCAACGAGCTCCAGAGAGAGACGTCCCTGCCCCGTTCACACCCTGGATCTATCAAAGGATGCTTTCTAAATCCACCCCGAGTGATCTGGGGCACGAAGACATGACTATGACCCCTGGGGAAAAACAGACTTTGAAACTTGGGAACTAACTCAGAATGGGATGTTCGCACCACCATAGAGAGAAACTGCTGTTTAGGGAGAAAAAGAAGCCTCAGATGTTCACGATTTCATGTGCCAAGAGAAGGACGACGAAAGGCAAGGCCTGAGCAGCAACAGCAGCTGGGCACGAGCCAGGAGCAAAACTTCAGATCTGGGACGGTTCGACAAAGCGGTGGCAGACCTGTGCTTAGGAGCTGCAGGGATTTTCTTTTCCTTTTTCTTTTTCTTTTTTTTTTTTTTGGCAACACAGAGGATAAAATAAACAATCCCATCCTTCCTGTCACAAAGACTCAATTCCCTGGCGAGCAGCAGCTTGCTTTGAGCCTCTCTGCAAAGCCCTTTGGGTGCTGCCCCGCGGTCCTGCGGCGCTCGGCACCAGGAGCATCCTCGCTGGGTTTGCTCCCTGCAACATCAGCTGCAGCTCCCAGCACCAGGACACAGCACGGGGCTTTGCTTTCTGCACGAGCTGCCTTTCAGCTGGAGAGTGGCAACCAGCCATCCACCTTCATCTTCTTCTTTTTCTTCCTTTTTTTTTTTTTTTCAAACGGTGTCATAAATAACTGACAGATCCCAGCTGTTTGGAGTTATGGTTTCTGATGGAGTGACAGCTGCTCCCAATCCCCCAGTCATCACCCCGGCAGTTCTGGAACATTTCAGCAACATAAAAATCATTGGAGATAATTTCGGTTTTGCATAATTTGGTTAGGCAAGCTGTGATTTAATGGCAATTATGACCTCCGAGGCAGAAGATGAGCTTGGAGGCTACTGGCTTCACACGACTTTAGCTCGGGGTGCAGCGTCAGGGATGTTCCAGGGAGAAGATACTACAAGAAAAAATCCCTCTCCAGCAGCTGGAAATTGTTGGCAAGTAGAAAGACTGATCCCAGAGGAAGAAGCATACAAGGAAATTTGGAAGGAATATTGCTAAGGAAAGCTTTGGGAAGAGCCTGGTGCCAAAAGATGCATCAGGAAGCACCTGTTAAAGAAAAGCCAGGAAAAAAACTTTAGACTTGGGAGTATCCTAGCCCCTACAAACCCTTCTGTGTCATTGGTATCTCGCGTGGTAACTAGTCTAAACCTCATCCTGACCCCACTTTGGTAGCCCCAGCATTAAAAAGCAAATCCTCCTTGTGCTACTGGGATGGGAGAACCAGCTGCCACCAGGAATGGGCCATGCCCCTTGCAGGCAGCTGCCTGCTTTGTGGGCACTGCCCATATTTCTCTTGCTCTGGGCTATGTTGCCTCCTCTTCTGTTGCTCCTCAGCCATCCCTGAGCCCCTATGTTTGCATTTCTCCAGAGGTGACCAACCAGAGCAAACCTGTGGTCAGCCAGGGTGTGCTGGGTAGGCACTTAAGGATGGTGAACCATACTCAGGAGCTTTGAGGGCATCATGGTGCTTCACAAGGAGCAAAATGTAGCTTAACATCAGAAGTAGCTTTTGTCTGCAGCTGAGAAGGTCCAATTTCCCCTCCAGCATCACTTCTGTCAAACAGCTTGGAGTCTGCTGTGAGCTAAAGCTCAGGGCAGAGACCTGGGGCCAGCAGCACCCCAAAATCAAGCCCTGTAGGATGTTGCAGGCTCATTTTACATTTGCTGACCTGGTATCTGGAGCTATTCACCTTCCTCCACCAAAGTCGAGGGCAAGGTCACCTGGAAGTTTCTGGATGGTGGTCATTAAGTCCTATTGCAGTTTGAAACCAGACCATAAATTTCATAGTGTAATAATGTAGAAATCAATAACTCTGTTTGAAACAATAGCTTTGTCTTCCATTTCAGCCGGCTCTGCTATCTCCCCACGGACCACGTCCCTCTGAACCACACAAACAGAGAGAGGAGGGATGGGTGGCGGGGTGGCTGCTCTCCTGCCAGGTGCCCAGCCCCTCCATCACTACAGATTCAATTAGTTTATTTATTCCTCTCTCGCCGTTAAACTCCAAGATGATTTAAAAGGAGGAAAGAAAAAAGATGAAAAAAGAAAGAAGAAGATAAAGACTTATGCTCAGTCTCTTTGCCATCCTGCCTGACGTGGCATCCCTGAGGCTTTCCATGAAAAGGATGCCCAAAGACCCTGCTGCCCATCACCACGGGCAGCACAGCCAAAACCCAAACCAGCCCTGGAAAGCTGCAGCACCAACTCACACCAGCATAAAAAAAAACCCCTAAAGTCCTCTCTTTTCCAGCTCTGGCTTTCCAGACGAGGGAGGTCTGGCTTCCTTTTCTTGCTTATTTTTCGTTGTTTGCTGTAGCACTGACTGGAAATATACATTGAGAGGCAGGATTGTCTTTCACATGTTGGTGGATGTGTGATCCTCAAAAACAAATTAGCACCGATTCACTTCTATATAGAGTGCAGCCATCAGGGAATCACTCCTGAATTCACAGCGAAGGAAAGTAATAATGCTTCCAGCGCACTAATCCTCTCCGAGAGCAGCCCCTGAACCCTCTCCTGGTGCTGGAGGCACCACTGGAAATTACAATTGTACTGAAAAAATAATATATAAATACAGGAATTGGCAGGGTTTATGCTGGTCCAGAGGATTTCTACCCTAATGTGGAACTCCCTGTTTAATTAGCACTCGTCTCTGCGTCTGCATCTCCTCCTCCTGCTACTTGAGCTAAAGAAAAAGGAGGGGGGGGGGGGAAAGGAGGCCAACGGTGGAAGTGGCTGTAGGATGGAAACTCAGCTAGAGAAACTTGTTTAATTGAAATGCTTGTTTCAGGACTAACATGCAGAAACAGAGGGAGTGTAGAGTGTGTTTTCCCCATGTAGTCTGCTCTGCCTAACCCCAGCTTGCTGCAGCGATGCCCTTGGCGTACAGCTGCAGTGGGATGCTGCCGGTCCTGCGGCTGGGGGCACGGGGGC